CTTTGGGTACATGAGTACATGAGAGTCGAGGGTGTTGGTTAGTGTAGCTGAAGAATTGAGCTTATATGAGCCCAGATTGTATATGCCAGTTTAGCTCATATTATTAGCATTGAATCGCATCCCGAGCCCAGTTGTGGCCCATTATTTTATCAGTGACACATCCCAAAAAATTATAAATAAATATAAAACAGGCAAAAAAAGAGAAGAGAGTAATAAAATCCCGAATTTTGAAAAGGTAAAAAAGGGCGTAAAAGGATTCCCATAGCCTGCAAGCTGCACTTCATCTTAATCAGAGCTCACCTTTCTGAAATATTTAACTATTGATCCAATCATCACGATGAGGCTCGCAGCTATGTTTTCGAGGGCAGTAAGGCTTTCGCTTGTCAAGCTACCGTCTCCGCCGCCTGCGGCGGTGGCGGCGCCGAAACCCGTCAGACGCTTCTCCACCGGAAGAGGCGCCTTCACGCCCAACCCGGTCGCCCTTGAGATGATAAAATACGCCGCATCTCTCGCTCGCGAGCAGAAAACAGGTGCCCCAATTTCTTTAATTCCAGTCCCTTTTGTTAGTTATCTTTTCTCGGTTGTGTTAGTAATGGGTTTGGCTTGAAAATGTGAAATTTTGCAGAGGAATCGTATGCGCGAGGTTTACTGGTACTGGAGCAGTGCGAGTCGATTCAGCCCGATGGAAATTCCAAGGGTTTGGTTGAGCTTGCTCGTGCGACGTTGTTGTGTGAAAAGTGTGTGACCTGATTTTGTTTCTCGATTTCCTTCTTATTTTTCTGTTTTTCATGGATATGCAGTGTTTACTTCCATTTTCCTTTTATATTTTTCCTGAAATGAATGTGATGCGAAGGGGGTCCCATGAGAGAGCTATTGAGGGATTAGGAAAAATTCAAGATTTAAACCTGTCCTCTATTGCTATTAAAGGTAATAAGCCTACTTTAGTTCTCTGTTTTTTTTTTTGTAGTTTTTCTTTCTTTCCCACAAGCTATGGACAGTAGGGTGTGATCATACAGGAACAATTGATTGGTATATTATTGTTATTTTATCTTCAGTAATGGGGTTCTATTGGCTTGTGCAGTTGCTGCTTCTGAAGCTCTGGTGGGAATTTATCTAGAACATTATCGAGTAAACAAGCAACACCAATAAGATTTTTAAGTTTCTTTCTTTCTTGAAAGATTGAAAGTGAAATAACATTGCTCTGAAAATGTATTGTCCTGATGAAGTTGGTTCACTTTGTTCAGGAGGATGCTGCATCAGCAGTTGCTGATTTGGCTCTGCAAACTTTAGAAACAATCAGACTAGAAATCGGTGATGGGGGTGGGTTTGAGGTTCTGGAGGCCCGCATCAGGGCACTAAAAGGTCTTATCGAGCTTATATGCGGTAATCTTGATTCGGGTAAGCAAATCATAGAATTACACTTTTCGAAGCCTCCTTCTTCGGTTTTTTATTGGTGCTTGAAACTCGGTCCTTTTTTTCTGCAGCACAGTCAATCTTTGAGGGTGCTCATGGAGAGGGATATTTTGTTGGTAAGGCTTTGCACAACGAGGGAAATTTATGCATGTCGTTTGTTGAGTTATATTGAATCATTTTGATATATATGCAGGCAATGCTAATGCTGCCCTGTGTTACGGTGAATATCTTCATGGCACACGGAAATTTTCGAGTGCGAAGAAGTTGTATACAACAGTAATTCAGTCTTTGTCTCAGATCAAGGATTTTTCTGACCCGAACAACTTTGGAGCTTGTAACATGACCTCAGAGGAGGTTTCAATTGCAGCTGCTTGTGCATTAGGACAGCTCGAGGCTCATATGGGGTGATTCTAATTCATGGTTCTTTTTCGTTTTCCTTTTTTTTTTTTTTCTTCTTTCTGTTATTGTTGATTATAACGTCGATCTTGGTGTTAATATGAGCTTTCTCTTGTATAGAAACTTTAGTGATGCAGAGGAGATTCTTACTGCAGCACTGAAGAAAATGGAAGAACACTTTGGTTTGCTATTTTATTTTATTTTATTTTTTTGGTGGTAATTTTGAATAAAGGTACAGACATGTATTGATTAAAAGTTTGTAATATTGTTTTTTCACTGGTATATATGTAGGCCCTCATCATCCCAAGATTGGTGTCGTTTTGACCTGCATTGCACTCATGTATCGACTGAAAGCAACTGCCGAGCGCTCGAGCTCCCTTTTGGTTCAAGAGGTCTGAAAATTTAGTTCTAGGTGCAAATACTATATATCGACACATCTTAGTTATCTACTTTATGCCGAAGCTCTAATATGCATGTTTGAAATTCTTATAAATAATATGCTTAGTTAAGTCTGCATTTAATTTAATTTAATTTTTTTTCTCCCAAATTGTTTGTCATAGTGTTGAATGCTTACATCATTTTTGTCCTCTCCCTAATTTTTTCGCAATGTTCCCAAAATTAGCATGCTGTGTTGAATAATTATGATCGGTCAATGTTTTCTTGTACGGTTTTACAGGGGCTTTTCAGAAGGGCACTCGAGTTGCTTAAAGCTCCTCCATTGGATGTTGATGGTTTGTAATCTTGATTTTAATTATTTCCCAATTTCTTATAATGGGAAACTCCGGTTAAGGTTATTATGGTCTTATTATCTTTTTGGACTGTGCAGGTGCAAGTGAAAATATTCGCAGAAAGGATATAATTACACTTGCAAGAGGTAGAAAAAAACTATTCGATTCACTATGTTATTATAATTCTGTAATACTTTTTGTTTTTTTACCGATTTGTGTGCGTTTTGAATGGTTTTTCGAAGGTGGATATGCAGAAGCACTTGCAGTGCAACTGTCGAGAAAAGTAGAAGCTGAGAAGTTGAGAAAATGGGCGGAGGGTTGTTGGGGAAATCGATGGATTCCACTTGGAGAGGCACTTGAACTAACCGAAACTTCAGCTAAGTTCTTAGTCATAGATACTCGGATATGTCGGGCAGTCTAATTTTCCGTGTGTATATATGTACGTCAAACGGCTTCATAATTTGCAGTTTTTGCATCTCTTGTAGAAAGCTAGACTCCAATAAGCCAAAATCTGTATTTTGGATGTACCAAAACTAAAACAGTATTACATACTGATAAATTCAATTCCAGTAAATTATGGTGAAAGATTAATAACAGAATCAATTGAAATTTCATTTTGCAAAATACATAAAACGGAGATCATATGATGATTTTGAATGAGCTTTTACACATTAACCCTCAATACAACAGTCCAATTTATTATTCCTACACTCACCAAAACAAACACAGAAAATTACATGAAAATCAGCAAAAATGAAGAATAATTTTCAGTTCATATCCCACAAACCAAGTTCTTACATCTTCCTCTTTCGACCTGATTTCAGCTCAAAAAGGTCCACTTTCAACACGGTCACAGGGCTTAAAGGGCCATGCCAGTAATTTTTCACACGAACGAACCTTTCGTGATCTTGCACCATTAGTTTCGCTATCATCCTTCGACACTTGATCAAATCATCCTATGTTTGGAAAAGGTTAATTTATACAAAATCAAAGCCAATAGTCTTTAATTTTTTCTTAAAGAGTGAAAAAGAAAAGAAGATGAAAAAAAACTTGTAATCAATAATTAATCCACCTTATGATCTTGAGGGATGAAAGCTTCTATATTTGCAAGTGGAGCCATTTTTGTAGATGGCAATAAATGTTCAACTGTACTTCTCACTGCAGATGTTGCCACAACACAATGCTTGAACTCCAAGAACTCAGGATCTGAATGTCATTTTAATTTTTATCGATCAAAAG